TTATAACTAAGTTTATATAAAAAAGTTATATAAAGTAATTAATAGTAAAGTTAGTAGTATAAAAGTATTTTATTTAAGTTTTATTAAATTACTTATAATTAACTTTTTAGCTTATATAGTAGTACTAGTAAACTATATTATTATAGTAAGTATATTAAAACTTAGCTTTAAATTAGTTAACTTTTACTATTATATAGCTAAAGTAAAGTAGTATTTACTAAAGTTAGTCTAAGTTTATATAAAAAAAGTAATTTTAATATACTAAAGTAGCTATATTTATAGTAGTTTATATAAGTAAAAATATTTAAGTAAAAATTTTAGCTACTTATACTTTACTTTAGCTTAGTAGTAGTAGTAATATAACTTATAGTTACTTTTAGTAGTATACTAGTTTTTAGTAAAGAAAGCTAATAATAACCTTAGCAATTGCAAAACTTAAGAACCTCTACACTACTGTACTAGACATGAACAACAAAAATTACCAAATTGACGAGACGCCAGATACACGCAAAATAGGCCATTCAGATCGACCAGACTTCATGCATTGGTATCTACTACGGAAAAATGAACAAGGGTTGATAAAGCTCTAGTCGCGTCTACAACAAGTACTGGAAGTAGATGTTCTCCTTGTCTGTCATGTCTTGCAGACCGTTCTCCCCGTGAACCTCGGCACCTGCCTCATGGAAATGACCGCTCATCGAGTAATCGATAGGGTTCCTAGGAAGACCGGCCGCCTCACGCTGATCGCACTTCTTCTTCTGCATCCAGGTGATGAGGACGACTTGAGCGACAACGACACCCCAGAGGATGCACCAGATTATCAAGATGCCCTTGAGAGCGTTGACCTAGAAACGAAATGTTAGCGATGGACTCTTGGCTGAGCATACGACAGGGATAAGATGCTTACGTATTGCGGTTGGAACTTCGAATCGAAGATGTACGGGGTAATGATGTTGCCTACGGAGTTTCCGGCGTTGAAAGAGGTGTAGTAGATGGCCTTCTTGGTTTGTCCGGCGCAGTTGGAGCCCATCCAAGAGATGAGCAGAGGGTTAATGGCGTACACGAAGGCAATCAGATAATAACCTGCGAGCAGACCACCCTTGTTATCCGGAGTCTTCGGAAGCGCAACCAAAAGAGCAACACCAACAATGACGATGGTAACCAAGCCGAGGAAGAATGGCGACTTGCGCTTGAAACGGTATGCGAGCCACGATGCACCAAGAATGGAAACGACCTGAAGCGCTCCGAAAGGCATGTTCAGCAAGACAGCTTCGTCTGAGCTGAATCCAGCCAGGTTCTTCAGGATGATGGAGCCGAAGACCGAAGAGACCGACGCACCAGCATTGACAGCGATGACCATGATCATGTACAGCCAGTATTTGGGTTCACTCAAGGCCTCGGCGACATGCGACCAGTTGAACTTGTGCGAGACGATACCCTGTTGATTCGCCTTCACTCGGTCAACAGCCTTCAAGCGATCCTCCGGTGTCAGGAATCGAGCCTCGCCGGGGCTATCATGGGCCCACCAGTATGTGATAAGACCAATTACGATAGTCAAGAGTCCGAAAAAGAGGTACACCATCTGGTAGCGGTACAGCGAGGACGAGTTTATCTGCGCGAAACCGTAAACGATGGGTGAACTGAGAACGGTGCTAAGACCATAGCAGCTGTACCAACAAGCCACGCGGAATGGCTGCTCGGAACGCCTGTAAAAGGCAATGGTTATCATCGAGAACAGGGGAACAACCATAGCCTCAAAGGCACCGAGGAAGAATCGAGATGCGAGCAGTCCGGCGTAATTCCTGGAACCACCGAGGCCACCGGCAACTGAAATACCCCAGCATGTGATGATGACGGGAAGGACGTGGCGGTATCGAAGCTTGACGAGGATCCAGGCGGCCAAAGGCTGCACGCCGAGTTGCGCATAGTATCCGATGTTGCCGATGTTTGAATAGTCGTTGCCCTTGAGGTGGGCGTCCTCCTTCAGACCATAGACGGCCGTCAATCCGATGATTCCCTTGTCGGCGGATTGCAGGAAGTACACCATACAAAGGAGCGACAGCATCCAAATGTCGGTCTTGCGCAGAATGCGTTTGCTGTCTGCCTCGGTGCAGATATGAGCCTCGCTTAGGCCAGCCTCTTTGCCCTCCTCATACGCCACGGCGTGGTCAATCGAAGTGTCGGACACATGCTCCATGCCGATAGCGGTCGGCTTCTCGTCCGCGGAAGCCATGTCGCAAGGTCAATGGGTAGAAAGATGAGAAAAGAAGAGATCTGGGGATGAGCTACAGTCTGGGGTACAAGTCTGGGGTAGACGTTTATATGCCTTCGTTAACGCGACGCGAACGACACCAGCGGGACCCGGCCCAACGGCGCAACGGACTAGAATTATCCCTCCAACAGCTTTGCGCGCACTAGAAGGATGCACCGATGCATCCGTGCCTCTGTGAGCTGTGCTGATGCGAGCTTGTTGTAGCCAATAGACCTGGCAGGAGGTCCTGATAGCAACCGGCTAAATCGATGGGAGGGAAGTGCTCGTGATGCGCCCATCGACGGCGGGAAGTACGAGCTTATGTCTGGATCAACGGCTCGGACTCTGACAGACCGAGAAGGTTATGAGCATGTTTGACGAAGTGAGTAAGGCTCACGGTGCTTTAAGTGTTGACAGGTTTACCCGAGTGGTGTTGGGTTGATAGTCGAAGTCTATGGGTATAGTACGCACCGCTCCATCGTACATCAACGAGACTAACCACCTGCCGATCTAGCCATGATCCCGGAAGCGTGGTAGGCGATGAGACGGCCAGAGCTTAGTGCGTGCCCTGATGCTGTTGACACTACAACTTTGTCTAGGGATTACCCAATAGACACTGCGTCTTTTCCCTGGCATCATCGACTGCATTAACGCTCGACGAACTTTGATGTCCGAGACAAGACTCTATGCAGTGAACAAGACTTTCTTGACCAGACGACAAGCTTTTGGCCAAGAATGACCCAGGTGGCAATCTTGGGATTCTGGAAACGCTACGGCTAGAGTGGTGATTAGCCGCCTTACGTCATCCACTTCAATAATTCCACCAACAATCAATCTATGTTAGCGCCACATGGCCATCTCAACTCTACTCATACAAACATCTTCAAGAGCAATAAGATCGTGGAGCACGATACACCAGCACAAATGCGATGGAATGTCGTGATGCTGATGATCGACTCGATTGCCGGTAGTCAGGGCGGAGGAGCCACGACCCCACAAAATGCCTCGGTGCCCGAGCGGCTCCACCAGCATTCCAAGAAATGCGGGGTAAACGTCATAACAACTCGAGACATCGTTGATATTCTGGGGAAACCTTGAAGAAAGTCTATCCACGCGTTGCAAAACCCGCAACCACCATATCAAACACCGACAAAGCCCGATCGCCGCTGCCTCACCAACATGGCCGACCCGAAAACCTCCACTGCGAGTCAGCGCTTGACGCAGATCAAAGATTTTCTCACCATGAACAAGACGGCAACAACCATACCATGGGATCCAGATAGCACTAAATTTCCGACAAGGAAGGAATTACCTCAGATTCCCGGGGCGCCTCCGGAGGCTGCTTGGGTTTGGGGTGATAGCGACTACGTATGTTCGACCGAACTCTAATCTACTTGCGGGCCGAACTGATCAGATGTAGATCGGCCGTCTCAATCTCCTAACATCTACACGTGTCGCAGCGGCTGCGAGGGAGATACGAACGGGTGAAATCGTACCTGTTAAGTCCGTGTTCTCATGATCCTTCTGATGTGTTATTGCTGACCGCGAGGTAGTCTGCCTCTCAACGTGCCGAATGTTCCCGCGTTTGGTCGTGAGGTTTTTCAGCATGAGATTAAGACGCTGGCTGAAGGTATTGCCTACGACGATGTTTATCATATGAACACCCAGTCTGGCACGCAATGGGACGGCTTCCGGCATTTCGCTCATATTCCCAGTGGATCGTTCTACAATGGCGTATGTATGAAAGCTCTACACGGCGAACGCTAGCTTACACTCGTCACAGACGAAAGGAAGCGATGTCACAGGCCCAAACGCAAACCACAAATGCTCCATCCACCACTGGGCCGAGCACGGCATCGCAGGTCGCGGTATTCTTCTAGACTACCGGGGCTACGCGCACAAGAAGGGCATCAACTACGACCCCTACGACTACTACCCCATCTCGTGGCAGGACCTTTATCAGTGCGGCCAAGACCAGGGAATCGATATTCGCCCCGCGGCTCAAGGCGGTGACATCAAGCCTGGAGACATGCTGTTCATCCGCAGCGGATGGAAGGAGGCCTACGACAGCAAGAGTGATGAAGATCGAAGCAAGGCTGCTCTTCGACATGGTAGCGGTAACGATGGTGAGGATGGTCAGCGGTATGCTGGTGTGAGTCAAGAAGAGAAGATTTTGGATTGGCTGCATGATAGCTACTTCGCGTCTGTCGCTGGTGATGCGCCTGCGTTTGAGGCATGGCCTACACACGAGAGTATGGCTCCTCAACCGTTTCCTGAATGATCTGGGCTGACGTTCCCAGATTACCACCTCCACGAGTACATCCTCGCTCTTTGGGGAATGCCGCTGGGGGAAATGCTGGATCTCGAGAAGCTTGCGCAAACGTGCCGCGAGAAGAACAGATGGTTCTTCTTCTTCACCTCTGCGCCTGCTAACTGCCCTGGTACGTTGAGAACCCGGATTGACAAGCTCTTGCAATCGCTAACAGCATCATAGGCGGAGTAAGCTCACACGTCAACGGCACTGCCATCTTCTGAGCAATTCGAAAATGTCCAAAGACCGCGTTGAAACCAAGTACATTATTATAAACACCTAGCAATCGAACGAAGCCAATTTCACACTTTCTGTCTCGTGTGACCAACACGCGCTCTCTAACCAACACTAGATCGGGCACGTCATATCCAAAAGTGCCAGCTACGCAGTATCAGCCTTATTCAAACTCCCATATCTCGACTCCGGAAGTGATGCGGGTCATGTTTCGTGCTCTCTTCGGCGTGGACTCTCCCCTGAGACGGTCCGTGCGTTCGCGTCTGAGTCTCGCGGCATGGCAGGTGCGTCCAACGCGGTTGACTCACTATTTCCTTCGATCTGCACAGCCTGCATCGCGCTGTCAAACAACGAGAACTGAGTTTGCTGATCCCTCAAGAGTGCCCCATAGGTCTGGTCGCTTTCAACAGCGCTGTCATCGCGTCCGACGCGTGCGTTTGGCGATGGCGGCATCGGTGGTGGTGAGCGTGTTGGTGGCGCAAACTTCACCTCGCCAACGGGGCCAGCAGCTTGCGCCGTGCCGAACATTGACGACGACGAGAATTTTGCGTTGAGCTGGCTATTCGCGTCTGTGTTTTTCAGTACATCGAGTCCGTCGGAAGGATCTGCCTTGTGCATTTGGTCTGCAGTTCCGATCCGGTCATCGAAAGCAGGCAAAGAAGCATCACTTTCGTCGCGCAGCCTCCTGTGTTCCTCCACTCTTCGCCCTTCCCAATCCACCACCACAATGCCACATTCAACAGAATCTGCAGCGACTTGCTCAGCTTCGCGACTCGCTTTATCGCGACGGTACTTGTAGCGTTGCTGTCTTTTTGCTTCCTCAGGTGCAATTCTCTTCTTGTAGCACTCCTCGGACTTCGCATGCGTGTGGTACTGACAGTTCAGCAGCGGTGGCGACCTTTTGTCGCTTGAGAGGCGTCGCATAGCTGTCTCAAGCGCCGAACAGACGAATGGCTGCGGCAAGTCCGAGGGGTCGACGTCGCCGAACCCTTCCGTCGCGTTGTCAACCCATCGATCGACTAGAAAGCGGCCTAGAGCTTTCGGCATGTTGTGTCTCTTTTCGCCAAAGATGTGCGAGATGGTATCGATATCCGGTCGTATGCCCTTCACTATCTTCTCTTCGAGCAGGTCCATCGCGCGGTCAATGAATCCGACATCTTCTATCACGTACCCGTGTATCGCTGCGTTGATCAGCGGCCAGCATGCGATCCATGCATGCTGCGGATCGATGCTGTCGGAGTCGAAGTTGACGTCGCGATAGCGGGTTGGAATAACGCCAGTGCGTCGCCATATTTGATGCAGCTCCGCCGCATCAGCGTCGACGTTGCGGCGTCTGAGGAGGGTAGCCGCATCGATGTTGTCTGGAACATTCACAGCAGGCAATCTAGCCAAGCGCCGTGTCAAGTACCAGGAATCCGGGTTCTGACGGCCATATAGTACACTGATCATTGACTGTCTCGGCACATCTACAGCTGTACCTGGTATCGGCGGTGCCAGTTGTACTCGCTGTGTGTTGGATGACTCTTCTTTCACAAGTTCTGACTGCACAGGTCCTTGCACATCCGCGTCAACATCATCGATGACTTCATCGTCACTCCACAGGCTCCCGCCTTCAAGCAGCGTATGATAATCGCTCTTTCTTGTGCGTGCCTCGATGCTTGGTCGACGGCGAAATTTGCGACCGCTATCGCTGATATGGTCACTTCCATCGAAGATGCGGTCGACGTTCCTAGGTTTCTGGCTTCCTGGACTAACCGGGACACTGCTGCGGGATTGCGACGATCGTGATGTTCTGTGATGTAGGTAACCTTCTGGATTGACTCCTGGAAAGCCTGTTGGTATACGCGGAAGCATGCTGCCGCGCTCGAGCCTTCTTTGGATGTCGCGCTTGTCGGAAGAGGACATTTTATCGGTAAAGAGGTTTCCCATGTCGAAGAGTGGAGGATGTCACGATCTTTCAAGGGTGCGCAATGGTACGGTGGTCAGTATCCAACCAGGAAGCAAGGCTTTGTAAGTTGTCAGTATCGAAGGACAGGGTTTGGTCGTATTGAGCAGCCTTCGTGTGAAGCGCGCGGCTGTTTGTCATCGGCAGTTTTGTCACGTTACTACCAGCAAACAGACCCTCACGTTGACCGCTGATGTCACCGCTCGCCTGGCCATGACTGGAAGTGATTCAGAATCGAGGTATGAGCACGGCTCACTCATCATCATTCTTCCATTACAATCCATAGTACTATTGCGACAAGGACGCCAGGTATGGAGCCCGATCATCATGTCTCTATTATCTTCGCGATACCATACCGCTCGGCATGTACACAACGCCTTTGCAGCATGAGACCAGCATAGTTTTGGCTAGGCCATCTTTAAATTCGGTAACATTCGTACTCGCAGGCCGAACCACGCTATCAGAGCATTGCCCTACCGAGCACATCGAAGTCGAATACGCCATAGCCGAACGCTCACCGTACCTTCGCATCTACCTCCCCCAGCACGTGCGCGATGACCGACCTTTACTGCCCATTCAGCTCGGCGACGTCGATCCCGCAGGCTTCAAGCTCTACATCGACTGGCTCACTACTGGCGTCGTGGAATTGTCCACCCAAGGATCTCTTCAACTCAACTCCTGCGTCGATTTGATTTACGCACATATCGTCGGCTCCGCGTTCTCGCAACCAAACTTCCAAGACTACATCATCGACAAGCTATCTTTTATTCTTGACCCCGCACAAACGTTCGATCAAAAGATTCTTGAGATGCTGTATTTGGAGAAACACGCGTCGACACTACTGCGGAAGTTCGTTACGGACAAGATGTTCGCGTATGATAGGAGGATGCTAGGCATGCTCCGGAATTCTGTGGAAGATATTGTGACTGGAACCAGTGATGTAAAGGGGTGTGAATATCATATCCATGATGACGGAGTGTGTTACAGGCATGGAAGGGCGGGTGAGTTTGAGCAGACGGACAAGGTGAATGGAGTAGGAGGGAAGAAGTGGAGTATTGACGATGATCCGGAACTGAATGCCATGGCAGCGCAATATCTAGGCAAAGCAACGACCCCTTCGAGAACGGACAAGTCATCAATCGTTTTCGACACCAAGCACCGTTCATCGACGGAAAAGCGTCGACCGCAGGCAAACAAGCTCGCATCGCAACTAAAAGTCCCGTCATTACATAACATGTACGAACATGATCTTCATCACCAAGAATCTACCCTATGGTCTCGAAACCTGCGGAGTCCCCGGCCCTCAACAAGATCTCTGACTCCCGATATAGGCGTTGACAAGCCCCTACCGCCTACTCCAGAAGCACCCCAAGCGCCCAGCACCAAAGATCTAGTCCTCGAATGTTTAGGCCGTCTACCACCAGCACAAGAACAAGCCTCAACACAAGAGCTCATTGACGAATGTCTTTCCCGGACACCTTCGCACCCTCTAAGATCCATCACTCCGTCAGAGAATGACAAATATCCGAGCCAGGTCGGACCATCAAGATCTCCAGCTGCGCCTACGACTTCACCTTCGCCCGTATCGTCAACCACCTCATCAGCCTCCCGCCCCTCATCACCGTCAATACCATACATACCGCCCTCCCTCCGCCCCGGCACACCCCTACCATCTTCACATCCAACACGCAACCGAACATTCGCACCCCTCCCAAAGTCCCGCCCCCGAGCACCTGAATCTAGATCACCAACTCCCTACACTAATCGATATCATCAAGCCCCCTCCTTGCCCCCTCCTTCCCCATCACCCTCTCCCTCCCCACCCCCGTTACTCCAACGCCCCTACCACATATCCCCTTCCTCGCCCTCTCTCCCGCAATTCGCGCTGCTGATAAAACGCAAACCCGCGCCACCACGAGGCGTCGATTGGCTAGAGCAATGGGACCGGCTTTTCGAACTGCAAGGTACACAAGGCTTTGGCTTGAGGCGGGCAGAGAAGAAAGAGAAGAGAAGTCGTTTTATGGAAATTTTGGGGGGTGTTGGTGCTAATGTTAGTGGGGGCGTGATCGGGAGGGAGGGTGGGGTGAGATGATGGACAGAGGAATGATGTTGTATTGTATCTTAGATACGGGATTCATGGCCGTGAAACCTTTTTACCGATATGTACAGCAGCGTCTTGGTCATCTAAGCTTTACCCAAACCCTTCCCTTCATCATCGCTTTCCCGCTCAACAGTCGCTTCAACATGCTCCGTCATCAGATGTTTGATACCCTTCATGGAAAGCACAGCGATCGTTGCAAGCGCAACGAACGGCACTACGCTCCAGTACCCCAGTCTATACGCACGCGCATACGACCAATGGCTCGCATCCCATGCAGCAGTTATGATAGTCTCGTTCGCGCCAGGTACGCCTGCGCCTCTGAACTTAGACGCCGAGCTACCTTTCATGCCTTTGAGAAGCGCAGGCACAGAAGACTCGGGTAGACCGGCAGCGATGGCCGCGGAACTGACGTCTCCGGCGAGGTGAGAAGCGACGCGCGAGTTTACAATGGCGTAGATGACGGCAGTGCCGAAAGCGCCGCCGATGGCTCGGGCGGAGAAGGCGAGGCCGGTGGCTGTGGAGAGGAAGGCGTGGGGGGCGGTGAATTGGATGCATGCGACTAGTAGTGTGAGTGGGCCTGCGCAACCGATACCTGTTAGAGCGGTGAAGATGATTTGTTCGGTGGCCCAGCCGGGGCGGATGAATGCGAAGCAGATTGAGGCGATGAACATTATGGCGAAGGTGGCTGCTAGGGGTGTTTCTGTTTACAGTGTTAGTGGAAGGTGTGAGGAAGAATGCAGTGTTGCTTACTCATGTCTTTGAATTTTGTCGCGTACCATGTCACGGCAAGAGATGTGAAGATAGACGCGATCTTGTAAGACAGTTGACGGATAGCAATATCCCACGCGTTGTCTTCGAACCCGACATTGAGGATGAGCTGTGGTGTAACTGCGTTGATGGCGGAGTAGTAGATCCATCCCTCGATAGCAAAGGCGAAAGTCGACAGCCAAAAGTTGGGTCCAGTGGAGAAGAAGACGTGGGCGACGATGCCATCAGATCGGCCCTTCCATTCTGTACCATATCAGCTTTTGATTCGGAAGTTTTGATGGAATGTTTGTTACCGTAAAGACAGAAAGCAATGAAGAGGACAATGCCGACAACGAGATTAGCGCATACGTGCGGATTGCTCCACGGGTACGCGCCACCTGCCCAGTTTAGCGCCAGAAGCATCAAGGTGGCAGCAGCAACAAGAAGAAGGGAACCGATAGGGTCGCAAGCCCACATCCACTGCTTGAAGCTCATCCGTGGATAGTCGGTGCGTTTCTTTGGCCAGTAGAACGCGAATAGACCAAGCGATGTAATGCCGTGTAGGCCGACTTGGATCCAGAAGATATAGCGCCAGCCGGAAGCGCTCAGGTTCGTAACCGCACCAGCTGCTAGACTACCGACACTGTGCAGAGTCAGTACGTGTCAAATGCATCTACTTACGGGAAGTGTCTACTTACGTTCCGCCCAATACGCCGGCAACGCCTGCAAGTCCATTCGCTAGAGGTCGATACTTCAAAGGCAGGATCTCGGATGGGATAGACTGGACGATGGAGATGGTCGCAAGTGTCGTGCCGATGAGAATACCGCCTCCAATCAACATGGACATGCTCGTAGCTTTGGCGCAGATGATGGAACCAATGCATGCGATCAGTGGAGGTATGGTGGCGAAGAGCTTGCGATCCAAGACATCAGACAGGCGACCGACGGGAGGAGAAAGGACTGATTGCATGAGTAGCGGGCCCTGTAGAATGTCAAAATTTGAAGTCAAAGTTCCGTGCCTGGGGTTCTGTACCTGGATGATCCAACTTGCGATGGCAGGTTCTCCAAGCTCGCGGATGATGAACGACAGGACTGATCCTGCAGCCACTACCACGAAGACCTGTGACATGACACTGCATGATCGATTAGTGAGATCGTAAAATAGAATAGGTCCTACGTACGCGAAGCAACAGCAAAAGACAACCATCCAAGACCTCCACGATAGCTTGACATGATGGACGTCCTCATTGGCTTCCTGGTCGATGGGCACGATGTGGGCGTCGCGCCCGTGGGCGGTCTCGATATGGGTAGCTCCCGTTTTGCTATCCATGGCTGTCTACACGACACGACAAGCTGGATTGAGGAAGAAGATGAGATGCGCGAGGTCTGCATCTCATATCACTACACATATACTGCAGTGGGGCACCATGCCGTGGGCGCTTGGCCGGGGCATTCTGACAACGGGATGAGCGGTAGCGGGCTTGAGCTACAACGCCATGCATATCGGCAGATTTGGATGCTGGGGTTGAGGTCCTCTCAGGACGCGTTTGGATGATGTTTACCGAATCATCGGGAGGAGATGATGCGGGGCCCCATATTGGGTGAAGATTGGCGCTCCTTCGCTGCAACGTGATGCGGGGAGGCGCGCCCACGAGTCGGGAGCTGCGCGCCTTACCCCGAGACACCTCCTCCTCTTTCCTTTCCACTCCATGGGTGAGGATCTATCGCGACATGTTGCTGCTATATGACGAGGGCTGGTGAGGAGCGAGGAGGTGAGGTTGGATGAAAGAGGAAGGGTCAACCGGAGTTAAGCAGGCTCGCCCCGCTGGACCCTGAGACTTTTGTTGTCTTTGCGCAGGCTTCACGCTTCCATCGACCAACATCCCACTGCCAACCTCTTAGCCGACGCCTATACGACGCATAGTAGCCTTTTAGCTGCCCTCAACACTGAATCCCCCGCCAGGCGATGCTATGAGCAGCCCACCGCCTCTCGCAGGCCATCTGGTCCCCCTCCGCACCAAGGACGAGGTGCGCGCCAGCCTGGAGACGCACACCGTCTATGTCGTCGAGGTGCCGGCCAAGTTTGCCAACGTTATCAAGGAGTGAGGCCTTCACTCCTGGGGCTCCAGCTTGATCTCTGCTAACGTCGCCCGCTCCCAGTGCCGTGCAAGCAGCGTTGCCCGACTTCAAGACGTCGGAGATCTCTCACCTGCGCCGCGTGGTGCAGTTCAAGTACCTGCCGCCGCACCTGCAGAAACAGTTCTATCCGCCTGCAAGGCTCCCCAGGGGTAACGAAGATGCTCCTGCCTCAGAACTACCATCTTCCCCACTAACACCGGCGACCCCCGCTTTCCTTTCCGCGTCCCCGTCCTCAGTCGATGCTGGCAGTGAGGCTGCTCATGGAGAGGCTGATGCTAAAGATTTTGATTTAGTCCGCTACTTCCTGCTGTGTCCCACGCGCCATATGCCCCACGCCAACCTCGCGGCTCTGATACGGACCTGCCCGCCTTTTGACGGTCCCAAGACTGCGCTCCCTCGGATCCTCTACGTAACCGTGCCGGCCCTGGCGCCCATATCCCAGCAGCAGGCTGACGACTGGAGCGACAAGTACTGGCCCATCTCGTACAAGAACACCAACCCCTACGGCCCCCATCCGAGCCTCGTACAACGCAACCAGGAGGAACTACAACCTGAGGCTGGAAACTGGCTGGCTCTCGCCCGAGCGGCCGGCCAGCAGATATCAGATCAGTGTCTGGGTGAGAAGATCGGCGTCGTCGTGGTTGACCGCACCAGGAACCAGCCCGAGATTGTCGCGGTTGCAGGCGACTGCCGCTGGAGGTCTTTCACCGGCACCGCTGAACCGCCCACCGGCACCGGCAATGTCATGGCTCACGCTGTCCACCGCGCCATTGCCATGGTTGCGAAGAAACGTCTTCGTGCTGCCGGCACCGACCCTGCACTCCTCGACCGCTCCCTCTTCTGCGACAACCCCCTCACCGGTCTCGAGAAGCTATACTACGAAAAGGACAACCTCTCATCGAGCGGCTACCTGTGCGTGGATCTCGACATCTACCTCACCAACGAGCCCTGCGTCATGTGCTCCATGGCCATCCTACACTCGCGCTTCCGGCGCTGCATCTTCGGCAAGCGCATGCCTCACACCGGCGGCATAACAGCAGACGGACCAGGCGACTCTTCCTCAGCGGGCAGCGGACTGAAGAAAGGCCTCTTCTGGCGACCGAGCGAACTCAACTGGAAGTTCCTGGCCTGGGAGTTCAACGAGGAGGGCAAAACTGCGGATGCGGACAGTGGCTTCAAGGAGACACTGCATGCATAAACGCGTGCTATCACGCTTGACCTGCATTGGATACAAAGCATAGACACGGCGTATTGGATTAACACTGTCGATGGGGATGAGATTATAGGGGATGATTATACCAACATGAGTAACGTGAATACGGGGTTAGGAAGGAAGTAGCTGTACGATAGCAAATGAAACGTGCGCATTGACCTTTTGGCAAAGCGCTGCTCATGCCTTCCGTGTTCTGTCCCGTGTCTAGATGTCTGGACTCATAGAGCGCTGAATTGGAGTACCAGACTGGATCAAAGCAAAGAGCGACACAAATTTCGTTTTGCAACAGATCACTATGGATCATCGTGGACCTAGCTCTACTTGATTTGAAGCTGTGCTGCTAGCTACATATCGTTTCTTCAGCGTGGGTGAACCGAAACCTGCTTATGTGGATTCCGTTTGAGTTAACGTAACGGCTTGCGCCATCTGATGTTCTACTGGTGCGTGTGACTGAGTACCATTTCGGGAAGATTTCCATTAAAGACATAGGGTCGGTATTGATGAGTCAAGGGAGATGTATTTGACAACAAAGCCTAACGGTGCCATTTGGTGAGCGAAAGCTGGTTTACCATAGCAGATACAACGCATTGACATTGATACACCGAAAAAGAAGGATGTTTACCCATATCATCATCGATGCTTTATCCTATCGTCTTGTTCCCGAAATAGCTTCATAAACATTCTTTGCTCCCAGCTGAGCTCCGGCTGCTGTAGCATGAGCTTTTGGTTTTTCACATAGGCCTGTCTGGGTGATCTAATGAGATCGAGTCCATCTCGACATGTGTATAGCGGCTGACCCGGATCTATCACGCGAAGCTTGCTCGTGCTTGTCCTGCGCACGAGTGATGTTGATGGTTTGAGACATCGTCTGGGACTACTGATACTCACGCTCCTTGTATGAAAATTAAGAAGCCGTATAGTATTTGCATATCGCTCTCTGGGATAAGGTTCTGTGGGGATAGGCGCTTTTACAGCAAGCGAAAGCGGAGTTAGGCCAGCCCGATCTCTCGTGATTGCACTCGCTCCGTGGCGCAGGTAGAGCTCGACGACCTCGACCTCGTGATTTTTCGCTGCTAGAAACAGGGGTGTTCGGCCCTTGTTACTTCGATGGTTTATGTTTGCTCCAGCCCCTATAAGCAGTTTTATTATGTCCACGGCGCCAGCCACTGCTGGACGAAAAGCGAAAAGCGGAGTGCGACCGTATTTGTCTTGGTAGTTGACATCGGCACCGTAATACAAGAGCGCTTTGATCTTGCCTTCTTCCGGTTTGCGGGCATGGCAGAGTTCGTAGAGCGGGCAAAGACCCTGTTCGTTGACAGCGTTTGGATTGCCGCCCAGCTGGAGGTAACGTTCGACAAGGCTGACATCGCCGTACAGACATGCCCAGATGAATAGCGTATAACCGTCTTCAAATCTGAAATCGAAACCGGCCTCAGCGTGAAGGAGTGTCTCCAGAATATGATCTGTTGTATGATGAAACGCATCGTACTCATACTCAATACCAGCACGTAACAGTGTTTCAGCGACAGCCTTAAAACCTGCGACCATCTTGGCGTAATTTCTATCTCGTTCATTCAGTCTTGAGCACGCTTGGACAGCTGCTGTCAATGCTGAAGCTTTACCTGAAGATTTTCCAGGTGCGTTGGATTGTATCTTGTCACTAAAGCCCAAGAGTAACTCGACCATGCCGGCATGAGCACTCTCAGAAGCCATGCACAAATACTCGTTGAACACGTCTTTTCGTAGCTGAGTTGGGCAGAGTTCAAAAATAACCCTTACTACAGAAACTGACTTCGATAGGATGGCATATTCCAATGCTGTTCGTTGGTGGACGTCTCTTGCCCATCCTTCGGCACCAGATCTCAAGAGTAGAGTTGCACTAGCTTGACTATCCACGTTGGCTGCAAGCATAAGAGCGGTTGCACCACTGCGGTACTTTTTGTCGGGTCGAGTCTGCGCCCCGAGGATTTTTCTTACACCAGCTTCATGGGTTGTCTCTTTCTCAAGGTGCCAAGGGTTTGTCGGGAATTCGTAGTTGACAGCGTTGGGATCGGCGCCTGCTGTGACAAGCAAATCGACAATTTTTGGACGGTTAGATCGTGTTGCGGCCAGAAGGGGAGTGTGACCATGATAGTCAGAGACTTCGAGATTTGCCCCAGCTTTGACAAGATAGTTGGCCACGTCGTAATGACCAGAGCGTGCAGCCACAAGTAATGCCGTTTCGCGTCGGCTATTCAATGCATTGATACGTGAGGAAGCATTTCCAATGCGGTCCTCGATGAGCTGCAAATCGCCACTTTCCGCGGCCTGATGTAGTTCGGTGGGATGCTCGAGATCGACACCATGTTTCTTCAGTACATCGACAAGACCAAAGTCCTTGTTAGCCAATGCATAGGTCAATGCGCTATTTCGATGCTCGTTAACGTAGCTCGCATTGGCGCCGTGCGCAAGCAGGATCTTTACAATATTCTCATGACTATGCTTCGCTGCGAGTAGTAGCGGTGTGATTGACTCTCGCTCATACTGCCAAGGCCTTGTGTCCTGGTAAATAGCTACTGAGTTAGGGTCTGCTTCCCGCTTGAGCAGCTCGATTAGTGGCGACTCTAAGCCAAACTCTGCAGCAATATGTACTGGGTCAACGGAAACCAGCTGTCGATAGCGAGGCAGAGCCCTCGCATGAGCTACCAGCACATTGGCAGGACGCTCAAGGAAGTTCATCACCTGACAGTATGCGGTTGGTGCCAAATGTGCATGGTGACCCCACTGATTGGCGGCATACTCGTAGAAAGTGTATTTCGATGTAGGTATTTGGAACTCATTCGGCGATCCACTGCGAGGTGTCGACTTGGCTAAGACGCCGCCAGTCGGGCTATGAGATGTCGTGTGATGCTGCACGTCCTCTAGCCCGCCGAAGACCTCGAAAGCAAGGTAAGTTGTACAGACTCTCGTAATCATAGCCTGAGCGTCGGGAAACCATCGTTGCTGAGTTCGCTCAAGGTACTCTTGCGTTGTGTAGTGCACGAGCCGTATGATCTCACTACCCTCGCTAATAGTGACAAGCCCAGCGCATGCCGAGACAACATCTCCAATCTCTGAAAAGTTTTCAGGGTCGAGATCTGGTTCGTCCATTTCAACACCAAGTGCTTGTTGCAACTCCGATGTAGAGAGTGGTCTTCGGACGCACGTAATAAGTGCTAGTGTCTGCGTAGCTAACTCTGCTTGGTCTGGAACTTGCCCTTTGATACGCTCCATTGCGTCTTCGTATGCGGAGTTGTAAGCTTCTGATCCAGTTGCAAGCTTTGCGAGACTCGTCCGGATTTGTTTTACGGATTTCTTGCCAACCATGGTGTCAAAATGTAGCTTAGCTAAGAGGAACCTCCAAGACTCTTAGCAACGATCTTTGTGTAGTAGTGGGGCAACATACATTCCTCGCACCGAACCGATGATCTTAGTCATAATTTCTTCTTGTAGCTCGGTACTCTTCTGCACAAATCCAGGAAGACGGGGCATACTCTTGACTAGGTAACTTCGTACGTCTGCGTCGTGGGCTTCGATGTTCAATTGTGGATGATCCTTGTATCGCTCGGTGATGTCCGGTATGATTCTTGATGTAACAAGAAGATTGACTAGACTCTGCGGCTCTCCCTCCGTGGATTCTGGAGCGGCAGTGGGTTCTGTAGCGGTGATGAGTTCTGGAGCGGTGATGGATTCTGTAACGGTGGTGGATCTTCTCAGCTTTGCTATGTGAGACAGCAGCTCGGTGCGGCAGTCATCAGCCGTTGGGCACTCGTCCAGCGCGTCTAAGACGATAAATATCCTCTTGTACTCGGCCGCTACTACTTGCAGGATCTCGGCAATGGCTATCGTTCGATTCGATGCTGTTTTCTGTTGCTGTTCATACAATTCCTGGGCTTGTTTCGGTAATATCGGCTGCTGTTCGACAAGTTGTCTTAGTAATTGGAACAAGAGACCGTCCAACGTATGCTCGTCGCGACGTTTAAAGTTGCAAAACAGGTAGGCTAACCCAATCTCAGCATCGTCGTGATATCGCTCCCAAAGATCAGCGTTGATGATTGACGCGAGAATAGTCTTTCCGGCCCCTGGGATACCAGGACAGAACAGGGTCCCTCCTTCCGTACTCAGCCAATCTTGATACTGTTCTGACCTCAAGAGCCATACGCCAGTTCCAGGTTGTCGCCTACTGATAGCATCTCGCTGTTGAGAGTCGTGGCTAGTGGATGGGACCCAGCTTAAGATAAGCTGACGTGTTTTGGCAGCCTCTTCGAAAGCTTGGCGATCATCTAAGTCTTTCCGCACATCATCTTGATTTGTTTGCACAAGTTGGATCTTGTGGCCGATCTCTTTCAATTCTCGATGGGCAGCATCGATACGAACTTCCAAACTATCCTTCAATTCGATGAGCCGCTGTTCGTTATTCCTAGACCGAGCATTGATAGTGAGAAGCAGTCTTGTTGCATTGCGATCCAGAGCTAATGAGACCATCGCCATCTCACTCTTGATTGCTTCAATCAACTTCTCCACATCCTTCTCTTTGAATGGCCATCCCAACTTCTCGGAAATGCTGTCTCGGGCGGATAACGCAACGGCTGCCAGGCTCAATGCCTCCTGAAGACGCGCGAGCGGAACAGAAAGTAGCTCTAGAGTCTTAGTCCATTCTTCGGCTTCGTCAGAATCTTCCACGTCGTCTTGCAACTGCAGTAACAGGTTACTGCAATTGCGGACTTGTGAGCGAAGGCGCTGCTTCTCATGTTTGGCCCCATGGACAGTTTTGATGTATTGGATAACCTTTTCGCATAACTGCGCGACTGCTATGATGCTTGCGGTCGTCTCCATGTGTGCCTTGGTGATGGTGTCATGTCATGATGAGATGGCATGAGGTGCGGGGTTCATCGCATCTCAGATCAAGTGAGCATGCGAGGCGAGGCTGTGCCACATTGCTGCTGCAGGCAGCGAACTTGCCGTCCCCCATGGCGATACGCGGGGTGACGTAGACCTGCACTGCCATTCGCTGATCGGTGATGCGTACAGGCGGATCGGGCCTTCTTTGCAGAATTTGGCGTCGAGTAGGATGCCTTATATGCGATGTTATGGAGGATGTGGGTGAAAGCAAGGAGTTGGAAGTCGCGGACGATGCACGTGCACTCGCGTTCGGCGCCAAGCTAGCGCGACTTCCTCAACCTTCAATCCGCCAGCGGGTACAAACATCTCAAACAACATCGCGACAATGCTGCCCGACGAGATCATCGCGCAGCTAACCGCTGAATTCCAATGCCGCGATCAGCAAATCCATCATCTTACAGCCCTCTATAGCGTTCGTACACCCATCAGATTTCAGAATCATTGTACTAACAACTACCCAGGCGCATCTCCCATCTCCACCCTTCCTGAACATCCATGGCCTTACCGCGACGGGCAAATCCTCGATATTGCGCTCCTTCTTCCATCTGTCTCGTATACAGCACACCATCATCAACGTTCGCGAATGCATTACGGCGCGGCATCTCCTGGAGCGCATCGTCGCAGCTAGTCTAGATGCGCTGGATGAGTTCAACGACGAGAAGATTGATAGAAGACCGTACGCGCGTACGGAGAACCTGAGCGCGCTATGCGTCAACATGGAGAAGCTGTTGAGCGGCAGGGGGAAATTTGTCTTGGTGCTCGATGCGGTGGATAAACTGAGAGAAGGGGGTGGGACCTTGATCGCGGCACTGGGGAGGCTAGGAGAGATGGTATGTCATATCACATGCAAATTGAGATGCCGGATGCTGACAGTACAAACAGATACCAACCCTCTCGCTCATCCTCACAACGACTCTCCCCCTCACGCCCTCCGTCCTCCACTCATCCTCAGCCTCCTTCCTCCACTTCCCCTCCTACGCGCGCAGTGAACTCCTCACAATCCTCGGCGCCAACCCACCAAAGATCTTCCTTGAACCGCCCTCCCTCGAACAATTCCCAGACTACACACCCGATCTCGCAGCCGAAGACGACCAGTGGCTCTGGGGTCGCTTCATCCAAGCCGTCTACGATTCTCTCGCGAAGCACACCGGACGAGATCTGATCAGCTTCAAGAGCTGCGCAATGCGCCTGTGGCGTCCGTTTGTTGAGCCTGTGGTATCGGGACAATTCGGCACGCGCGACTTCTCGCGCTTGATGGTGAACAGACGGCATCTGTTCCAGCTTGAAGACTCAGTTCTGGATCGAATCATCTCGGATACCGCCGAACCGATCAAAGAGGCAGCACCGGCAGGCACCACGCCAGCGACGCCCAGCAAAAAGAAGCCAGCGAACATGACGGCGCACACCCTTCCATACTTCACGATCCACATTCTCCTCGCCGCGTACCTAGCGTCCTACAACCCCTCGCGTACCGACGTCACATACTTCATGAAGCACACCGATAAGCGGAAGAACAAACGCCGCGCACCGAGCGCAGCGTCTTTCAGCGTCACGGGCAAGCGCACAGGAGCCAAGCATCGGAAGATTAGTCGGCATCTGTTGACGCCCAGCCCGTTCACTCTGGACAGGTTATTGGCGATCTTCAGAGCGCTACTTGAAGGAACGGTACCTCAAGTAGCGGACTTATACACACAGATAGCTACACTGACGAGCATGAGGCTGCTTGTAAGAGCCGGAGGAGCAGGAAGTAACGACGCACTAGAAGGCGGAGGACGATGGCGCGTGAACTTCGGCTGGGAATACGCACGCGCGCTGGGCAGAAGCGTGAATTTGGAAGTAGGCGAATATCTTGTTGGTGGTGTAGACTAGGCCTTCAATTTATTTTGTACACTCCAACACCTGGCCAAGTGTATGTAGGAGTACGTCTAAGAGCTACAACTACACTGCAACATACCCTTATACTTCGGTACATCACCACAGAACCTCTCTTCCTCCTCTGCGTTCCACTCCCAGCTTTCTTGGAAGGGGTTAAGCGCAAGTTTCATGATCTGAGGCAGGATCTCGCGTTCGTTCTTCTTCTCCACGCGCTCGATGAGTTCGTCTAGGATCCAGGAGCGGGGGATGAACTGCGTTGACGTTAGCACTGTATCTCTAGCACAGAGTGGAATGGGACTTGCGTTAGGATTAACCTTGTCCATAGCAACCTTCCTCTCCTCATCCTTGCCCTCCCCCCAATCCTCCCTCACCCTCTGCGACCATTTCTCCAACCACTTCCCAATCCGCTCCCGCCCATCGCTCTCCTGCCTCGGCGCGTCGTTCCTACGAAAGAACCTGCCCGCAACATCTTTCCTCTGATCCTCCGTCTCCACTTCACTCAACTTCACATTCCCCAACCGCCTAAACGCGTGATGGAAATCCAGTTCATACATCTGCAGCGTATCCAACAACTCCGACATCAGATCCTCGAAATCACTGTCCTTCTGCGTCTTGAGGCCCAGACGAAGCGTCATGAGACGCCGGTACTCAGCGAGGAAAACGGCTTTGTACTCTTCGCCTGCGCGGTCGATGGCGGATTCGCCGCATTTGACTATGCCGTCTGCTTCTTCTTCTGTTACGCCTTTTTCGATAAACTGGGCTTCGTCGACTTTGCTGCCCGCGCCCATGAGTTCGCCGAGGGCTTCGCCTAGGCGGACGAGGTTCCACCAGATGATTGTGGGTTGGTTGCGGTAGCTGTAGCGGAGCATGTGGTCGTCGTGGTTGGGAGTGTAGGTGGGGTCGAAGGTGTCGAGGAAGGCGAAGGGACCGAAGTCGATGGATAGACCGAGGATGGATGTGTTGTCTGTGTTTAGCACGCCGTTCATGAAGCCGTAGGCTTGCCATTTTGCGACGGTTTCGGCGTTGCGGCGGAGGATGGCGCGGTAGAGGCGGACGTAGCGGTTTTCTTCGCCTTCGTTCTCGCCTTCGACGGTTTCTTTGGGGATGCCGGTGTGCGTTTGGGAATGGACTTCTTTGGCTTCGCCGGCGGGGAGCTTGGAGGGGAGCTTGTCCCAGCCGCCGTAGACGTGCTCGGCTGTGTAGTCTGCGATTGTGCGGAGGGTCTTTCGGTCTCCGCGAATGCGTTGGAGGTCGAACGTTCCGAAGCGGATCCAACTTTGCGCAAATCGTGTGACGATGGCTCCAGGCTCTGTGCGTTCGCGCATGACCTTGCTGCCATTGTTCAGGGTGAGCGCCAGCGCTCTTGTACTGGGGATGCCAATGGCATTGAGATATTCCGAGACGACGAACTCTCGAATAGAAGATCGCAGTACTGCGCGGCCATCAGCGAAGCGGGAGTAGGGTGTCCGTCCAGCACCCTTCAGTTGGATCTCGTATCGTGTGCCGGTCGCTGGGTTGGTAGACTCAAACAAGGAGATGGCGCGTCCATCACCAAGTTGGCCTGCCCATTGTCCGAACTGGTAGCCTCCATAGCATTGTGCCCAAGGGTATATTCCAGCTTCCGGGTTCGACTCGTCCCATGTCAGGATCTTCTTTCCAGCCACGACTTCCTTGAATTCATCCGTCTTGGCCTCCTCTTCCTTAAGACCAATGTCCTGCATCGCTCGCTGACTGACAGCTAACAGCTCCGGTTCACCTTGTGAGTCAGGTCGGACGTATGTGTATAGTGCTCCCTTGACCATGCGCGGTCCGAGCATTTGCCGTGGCGCATCGTGGGAGTCTTTCGGTCTAGGGAACACGTCATCGGCGGGAAGGTTCGATGTGAAGACGCTCGATTTGGGAAGCGACTGCAGCGTGTGCAGTTCATTGGTCGAGTTGCTCGCCGTCTGTGGGATGTCGAGGTGCGCCATGACTTGATTGAGGCGCATAAAAGTGTGGAAGCGGTTCTTACAGATGTATTTCGTCGACGATATCGCTTTCCTGGTAGGCTGCAGCGCAGTGGAGATTCGAAGCATGAGCTGCTAAGGGTATCAAGTGGTGTAGGAGGGAGGGGCAATGAGGGGAAGATGGCGGCACATATGGGCGCATTCGATGCTGATCAGAGTGATGCGAACGTTATGGGGCGGTGGCGTCATGCCTCGGACGAGCGGGCTTATCGATAAGGTGGTCGTGAAAACATCAGAACGTCGCGGTGCCTGACTCGCGCGTTTCTCTTCTAAACTAAATCGCGTACGCGTCGACAACTCCGCCAATCAGCACATCCTTCTTCACGCAACGCATACCTTCACTCCTTACTATTCAAGACCAGCGCTGGCCTTCACACTATCACTGTCGCAGGATGAACGGCCAGCCAATACCCGGCTACTTCTGGGACGCAGAGAAGAAGAAATACTTCAGGATCCAAAACCAAACCGCAGCCCAAGGGTCAAATCTCAAATATTCCTCAGCAAACATCAAAAAGACAGAAAGAAAAGAGCGTATTCAGAATGTTGCACTTGCGCGTTCAAATAAGCTTAAGAAGGAGCGGGTCGTCAGACGCAACGCGAACAGCTTCGCACAGACAAACATCGATAGGGAAATCGGCCTGAAAAGACGGTCACGCTATATACATGGTCTTTGGCCTGACGCATGCGCAGCCGGTATTGAACAACGTCCCGAAAAGGTGCTAACTCCATGTGGACTCCGACTTTTTGCCAAAGACCCAGTACATCATACGATATACACAGTCCAAGGTGAGAACAGTGTGCACAGGCAGACTGCAGATCGCGGGAGCCCATACGTCCCATCAGAGGATTACTATACCTTACCCGCTTCATCTTCACTAAAGAGTATTTACTCCTGGTACCCACGAGAAGAGGTAACGCGAACGACGTCCACGGTCTCCTCGTTGTCCTTTCTACCAGCAACCGGCGCGCTTGCGGTAACGACCTATGGGTCAGATCGACCGCCAGAAGTATGGCTCAGCGACCCGGGACGCGACGATCCTGTAAGTCTTCCACAAACTTGTAACCCCACGCACGTAATCTGCTCGATGATGAACGGCCATGTTCCATTTCACGTTCGATAGACCGAATGATTTGAGTTACTCAGCAGCCATGTAGCACAACTCAGAACGAACGAGCTTTTCTACTCACTCCCACATCATTTCAATCACTTCACAAGACTTTTGCATCGTCCGAGACTCTCACGCTGACCCTTAGTGACACAGTACGTAGGGCAAAAATTTACACCGAAAGACTGTTCAGCTATCTGGGGTGCTGCTGCCAGACCAACTACGTTCACGGCATCACCGGGTCTTGCAAATAGTGTTGCAGCGACCCGGACCGAGCACCTCGCAGTTGCAGCCTCAAGTTCGATGCTACTATTCACTCGCTCACAGGGAGGTGCGTGGGACTCTCAAGCTGTAGTAAAGTCACTTGAATCGGATCTTTTGGCCTTGGAGTGGATATCGTATACTACTGTCGCGCTTGGCTGTCGGGACGGAACCATCCGACTATACGACACAAGATCAGGGGGCTCAAGTCACGTTTTGACACATCCCGCGCCCATCTCAAAACTCAAGCGTGCCGACGACGAGACTAGGTTGATATGCTCGGGGCTCAACGACACGCTTTTCCTATACGACATTCGCGCACCTCGCTTATCTCGGAACTCATCGCGAAAGACGTTCGATTACGACAACCATCACTACAACGAAGAATACTTCAAAAGCCTATATCCCACTCATCGCGATAGTCACAAACGCCGCAAGCTCAACCACAAAGCTTTCAAAAATTGGTCGCAGCCAGTCATGACTTTCGCCCACCTAAACAGAGACGAGCTAGAACTGGACATCGATGTACATCCAAGACTCGGACTTTTAGCGGCAGCCCAAGACACAACGGAAGGTACAGTGATCCGTATTAGCAACATCTGGACGGGTAAATCTGTTAAGGAGATTGATCCAGGCAGCACGCACCAGGCCAAAATCCGTGCACTCAAATTCGTTGAAAGCGGCTTTGACGGCAATGTTGACCTTTGGTCCTGTTGGGGTGGTGGGATCGCGAAATTTGGGTGGTCACACAATAGGGGCCTTTAGATTTCGAGGCTCACCACAGAAATAACAGACACGCTGACCTACGAAGACTTCCAACTGGTGTCGATGGACATATTCACAGGTCTGCCATTGGTGCGAGCGACCACTAAACTCACGAGACTGAAGCATGTCCATAGGGCCGCGCCGCTAGAACGCAATCACACTTGCACCGACATGTGACAGTGCGACTCTGAAATCGTTCAGAAACATTTGCTGCAATCATCCGCTGCGTCACAGTGAGCCTCGTCCAATCGCGCCCGGCAGTCACTGACGCACGTGCGTTCTCTGTCGTTTGCTCCTGCCTCGCACCTGCCCCGATTGGATCGGGCGGTTTCCCTGGCCATCATCTTGATCTCACAATAAATCGCAAGAGCTCTTCTCACTTCAATACCTCCAGCGACAGATTGAATCGTTCTGGAGAGATATTCACAGCGTCGCGGGTGACATTGGGTGAACGCCTTCACTCTCATCAATTCACCCTCGCTCTCCGAATAACAGATAATCCCCGAGCGAGCGCACACCCCAACTTTCCGCACCAACCATCGGCCTTTCCCCAACCAAGGGTTCCAGTATTACACTTGGCACAAAACCATTCGCAGAGTCCGAAAGCCGCGAAGAAAACCATGTCGAATATCGATCTCGAAAAGTGCACCGCCACTTACTCGCCCATCAGAGCCATCCCCAGTACCAACCCCCGCGTCTCCAACATCAAGATGTCGTTCCCTATCCTCATTGCTTACATCGGTCTCTACGTCGGAACCTACTACCTCAGTCCCACTGGCCCTGGATCCGAGCACCGCGACGGCGACTCCGGACGTATACCACCTCTGGCGATCGTGCTTACGCTACTCGGCCCTGAACTTATTCAGAAAACATTCGCTATTACGACTGTGATCTCGAAGACAGAGTCTCCATGTTTCGGTTTCGGGTGGCTGGCTTATAGCTTGTCGCTCTTGTCGTCAGTCACGTCTGGCAGTGCTGATCTGGCGCCGCAACCGGAGTGCGATGTGAAGGTTTTGGACATGAAGACGGGGAAGAGACGGTCGAACAAGGAGTTTGCCGTTGCGAGGCTGCTCCGCGATCTGGAGTTTCGCTCTGTTCCGCCCAGTATCGATGGCAAGTCTGATCAGGATAGCGAGGTTGTCGTCGAGGTCCTCCAACCCACTGGCATATCCTCCTCCTGCACTTCTTTCAAAAGCCTACTCCAGAGCGGCAGCTTAATCACCGCAATCCTTCAATTCTGTCTTGCCGGCGCATTCTGGTCCTACTACGGCGATCTCTCACCTCTCCTCCTCCTCAGCATATCGATCGTGCTTATCGAAGCTACAGCCAGCCTACCCGTGTGGACTGCTCAGAAAAACGCTTCCTTTACCCGGAATAGTCAGAACGGGGCATACGCACTCATGCGCAACACCGACACCCCACCCAGCCACATCTACATCATCCAGCCCTCCCCAACGGCATCCACCAAGGCCGAAAGCACGACCACACATCACGACACATCCACCAACGCCTCAAACCCCTGTGTTTCACCCGTCATTCTTATCGCCGGTGCTTTCTTGAGCCAAGCACTCCTTTACACCCAGCTCTCAGATAACGCAGCGATTGCTATGCTGCTTATCATGTTCGTTGGTACGATCAGTAACTTTGCTATCGTTGCTGTGCCGCGCGTGCCACAGATCGATGGTGTGAAACTGGGATCTGTTGGCGTAATGAAGGGGGAGGGGAGCGTTGTGGAGGTTTTGAAGGACGTTGAGGCGGCGTTCGAGGGGTATGGAGATGTGCTAATGAAGCAGTGTTTCCCTGAGATGATTGAGAGATGGGGGGCTGGAGTGGAGAAGGTGAAGATGGGGGAGATGGATTGAACGCAGTAGAGCGAGTCTCGGTTCGCAAGGTTCCAAAGTGTCTGCCTGGTATCTGAGCCGTCAGCAGTAAATTCCATGGATCACACGCAACGAATCCACAGCCATCACAACACCTGATATCAAAACTCTTAAATTCATTATGCCGTTGCTGCTGTCCCCCCTTTCCTCCCTCCCCCTAAAAGCGGTATCCTAACCCTCCCAAAAACCATCCCCCCACCCCTCCGCATCTGCGCCACCGCATCCCCAAGCAGCACCCGTATCGCCCCTTCCAGCCTCTTATCCTTCTTCCGCCGCATCCACAACAGCACTATACCCAATATAAATACATCAACAGCAACATGCTTGAAGCACGCCCACACCCATCTCCACACGCCTCTAAAAAGCTGATAGTGCACTGAATGCGCAAAAAGTCTTCTTGCTTCTAATTGTTCGCGTAGTGCCGCGACTTCCGCCGTCATCTTCATGAGCGATTGCTCGACGCGTTTCCGCCATTTCTGGTCTGCGACTGATTCTTTGGGCGAGCTGTCTTTCGCTACGCCGGCACCGTTTCCACCAGCGGCGGCGGGTGTACTGCCGAAACCTGGTATGGGCATCTGAATCGGTTTGCCCAAGACACCCATGCCGCGATTCCGTGGCGCGGGCGTGGGCGTCTGTATAGGTATAGGTTCTGCGCGGATCAACTGCTGTAAATCGGTCTGTACGCCTGCGTCTTCGAGTTCGGGGGCGTCGTCATCGTCGTCGGGGTAGGATGTAGGGTTATATTGCGAGTCTGGGGCGTCGACGAAGACCTCGCCTTCACGCTCGATTTCCGCTTCTTCTTCCTCGAGGTCTTCTTCGGATTGCGACATTGGTGATTTTACGCGGAGGGGCACGGCGCGGCGGTCGGAGTCTTGGGGCTCGGGGAGGGGGCGGTCCATGTCGTTGCTGCTGTTCATGGCTGCGCGGCCGCTTTGGCCTAGTTCGTGCTGGGAGTAGCCGGGGGTTATGTGGTCGGAGGTACGTAGCGGCGAGGAGGAGGATGAGGAGGGCACGTTGGATTTGACTTGGTCCCAGACGAATTCTAGCTCGGCGACTAGTTCGCGGGAGTCGGGTGAGGGCGAGGCGTACTTGTGCATGGTGTCGATGAGGGTGGTGATGTAGCGGCGTTTGGCTTCGGTGCGGGAGAGGCCGTTCTGCTGTTTCCAAGCGTCCCTGGGAATGTTAGGTTCTGTCGTGCATGTATTCCATGGTAGGGTATGAATGGTGCTATGCGCCAAGTGACATACCATTTCTCCCGTGCTCGTTGCGACTGGTCATCATTGCCTCTTGGACATTCCATTATACCGTCGACATCGCCCTCTGTTTTGGTCAGCGCTGGTCGTAGCACAGTCCCCCTCCGCATCATTTCCCTCGAGGCAACGTACCCATGGCCTGCTTATATAGTCCATACAAGCGTAACCTGGTCGCAGACGGCGGTTTCTGCGACCCCGTCCGTATCTTGTTGACGGTATTGAGCGCATGGCTAAAGACTCGATCTATATTCCCCATCATCAGCAAAAGTTCCTTCCATCCCATCTCACCCCAGACAAACCTACCAACCGAGTCCGACATTACGAGCGTGGATATCGCGCCCCCATAGACGGGGAGCGGCGCATTGATTGGTGTGGCGGTGCGTGAGAGTGCCTCAATAACAGGCACAAGGTATTCAGCCAGGCAGGAGCAAAAGACAAGGTAAAGTACAACGGCGCAATGGATGGCGGACGGCGTGCATGATGCGATGACAATGCGGAGCCGTGTGGAGATGGCATTCGTTGTCGCGCGACCCTGGCGCTTTGGCCTCGGCTCTTCCGGAGCGGGCGCGCTTGCCATGTGGCAGTGCCGTCGGCCGCCGTTTCACGTGTCAACACACTTTGACTGGATTCACCGCACTTTGCTGTCTTGCTGATGGACTGTAATATTCGATCGTCCTTTATTTCACGAATCATATCAAACGCGATAACAGTCTTGTAACTGTTCGTGGCTGAAGCAGGGATCTGGTCGACAGATCGGGCAATGTTTTCCGCACGCGATTCCTGGACGAGACGAGATACATTTGCGACGCAAGACTCGCTGACTCCCTGTGGCTCGTATCCATATCTATCTCAAATCAGACATCACATCGCACAACAGCGTCTACCAATTTGCTACCACAGGCTGCACATCGCTCGTGAAAGACCACACGCCCTGGGAGTTGACAGCATGAACAATCGCCTTCCTCGCTACATCCTGTCTACGCGTGGTAGTCGCAATCTGAGTCGAGGTTCCCTGGCATGACTATTAGTATCGCCCTTCGAAGACGATTGGCATCTGGACGAACTCACCTGTACGCGTGCACCCCGCACGTTCGTGTAGGGATTGCCAACTTCATCCGTACCAGTCGGGTACTCCACAATGACGGAATACGCAGTCGCGCTGGATACCGGCGACCAGCTGACCTGGAAGTCTCCAGCATCATTGCTCCTTCGCAGAGATACGCCTGCAACCTTGGCTGGACGCGAAACACCACCGACAGCGCGTATCTGCCCCGTTGTGTAGCACCCATTGGACGTCCCTGACGTGGTGTAGAACCGCCATGAGACAGGCGCCTGTCCGTTCTTACAAACACTGCTGAACTCGTGCACAGCTGTGAACGCCGAGCTACCAGGATACTTGGTGAGGAAATTGTTGCCAAGGTAAGGGTAGAAGGTATCGCTGACACCGAAGCTGTCGAAGTCGCGGAAGGGCTTGAGTTCGGCGCGACTGCCGTCCGCGTACGTGGCTTCGAATGCCCATTGCACTCCTACGTATCGGTCCTTGTTGAAGGTGAGTTGCGCAGTGCAGCTTCCGAGGTTAAAGGCCTTGTAGTTACTGGGAGCCACTCTGCCGGTATACGGATAACTCCAGGATGAACTACATTGTTGGCGCGTTTCGAAAGCAAGAGGCGATGCCGTCGTAGCGGTCGCTAGGAGCGTGGAGAGCGCGGCAAGAGAGAGCTTCATGATAGTCCTAACCGAACAAAGTGAACAACTATGAACACGTCAACCCGGAAAACAACCCCCCTAAATACCACTCCTCTCACCCTCCCGATTGACATCACCAGCGGGTCCAATGCACCAAAACTCTACTTATACAACTAGACAAGTCTTGGACACTACATCACCCGCCCACGAGGAGCGCAACCCGCCATTTCATATTAGCAGCCAAGACGGGCGTGTACAGCTTTCAAGACAATCCAAGGCGGACGGAGACAACACCCATGAGGGTATGCGGTTTAGCTGGTGATCATCTGCGGGCCGCGAGAAGCCTAGCTTTCTTGGCGCTGCAGGTCAATCTTCGTATTCGGTCTTGAGGCTTGGGCTTGGCTGGGGTGATCTACATTCGGTACATGCGACGACTGAGGCCGTTTTTGCTTTCGACGTTTTCTGGGTTTGAGCTCGATGTTCATGAGTGATTTTGCGGATATGTTTGACGCTGGGCAATGCAACAGGTATAAGCCGAGCAGTGTGTATGATACCTAGGTAGGATTTCGTTATCGGATTTGGCACAGACTATCACTCGATGGTTTCATCTCGCTGACAAGACTTGGTTTTATTCCTCGATGCAGATCTACCAACTGTAGCAGCTATTCTTTTATCAAGACCAAGATCTAAACCATACCCATATCACAAAGGTCACTCCATCGCCATACGTCGCCTATCACGGACGATCATCGTAGACTGAACCTTTTTCGAATCCACCTCTAAGGACAACCTCTTCCCAGCGTCCTCGCATACTCAAAAGCCAGCCTACGGACACTTCCACCCACATTTATCCCGACAGAAGTAGAAGCTCGCCTTGCAAGTCTCAGCACGGCAAGTAGTATCGCAGGTAGCTGGGTTGAACCAGCAGGGCCAAGACTATCATCATTAATCACCCGAGTTAGTTTCAACAACTTCCCCCGGGATTTGGCGTAAGGGGAATCGAACTTACACGAAGGCAGTGCTCGAATTGGTCTTTGCACTGGTCGCAGGTGGGGACTTGGACGGGCGGTAAGGTCTCTTGGGGGAAGGC